AAAAGACCAATCTGGAAACAACAGTGCAGAATAGTAGTTATCACAAATAGAAATAGTTGCAAAAATGGAGGTATCCAGCAAAACTATTAACCGACATCTGATCATGAACTAACGATCAGGATAACTGGGATGACTTTACTTCTCTGGCAATAGAAAATTAAAAGAGTTCTTAGATCAATCAAGGGACATTGGCATTGAGTGCAAATTAATTAGCAGCGAGTGATTGTTAAGAATTGCATTATTACCAATTGAAGAAGGATTTCAACAGCCCCCTTCCCATCTCCAAGCGCACCATCTATCTCATCAATAACCTAGAAGGTCCGCAGTTACATTTTAGATTAGCACAACAGGCAAATGCACTGCACAAAGTAATAGTTACACACTGAAACCAACCAAACACTTTGGCTTTGAATCACCAATAACCGAATTCATCTGAACCACATCGAGGATTTTAGCTTCAAGGGTTGAGGATGACCTGTCGTCACTTGCATTTATCTGTCAAATGAATGACAGCCAATTAGTGGAAAAGACATTTTAATCAAAAGATTTTTAAAACAGAATGGAAAGCTTTAGAGACTTCTATCATATAAGACATTTGATACACTGGTGATTGCATAACAATGGAAGTCTGATGACAGCTGCATATTAGGTGGAAATCACATGAAAAACTACATAATCCAGAGAGCACAGAACTCTTATGCAGTCAGAATGAAATAATGAAGTATCATCGTAAGAGATTCCCATTATATGCTGAAACAATTATCTAATGTGTACAATTATATCGATATTTGTAAGATTCATCTTATCAGAATGTTGTGATACAAACACCCTTCAATCCAAATCCATTGCACCAAATTATTCATTCATAACAAATAAATAATGTGCATCCAGCAATCCACTTTAACAATTTAATCAGTGAATAAAAATACACTGAGCTCTCAGAGACGTAAAAGGTTTAAATAATTAGACCTCAACAACACGGTAGCCACAATGCCTTGCTGCCACATGTGCAAGTGTTGTCTTGCCGAGTCCTGGGGAGCCACAAAGCAACAAAATCTGTGATGGTCATCAACGTTTTTGTTAAAGCATGTATTATACATGTCAGAAAATGAAACAAAAGTACTAGCTCAGAATGAATGCATAATGATTTAAGTTTACACAAATGGAACTATCTTTATCCAATAATGAGCAGTTGATTGATGTTATAAAGACAACTTTCACTAATAAAGGTGGTACAGCGAAGCAGTAACAACATTTTAACACCAGGAAGGTAGAAAACAATTTCATGTAAAGAAACACAAGAGCAGGGAAAGTAAAATGAAAAAGTAGGCCAGATCAGCAATTAAATGCATGACAGAAAATTAGTTTGTCATATTTCATATAGGTCACCATGTTGAAGATAGATATAGTATCGGAACCCTGGAAGATAACTTGAGCAATAAATACCAAAACCACCAATAAAGCCAACTCCAATACCCAACAACCTACAACAACAACAACAACAACATACCCAGTATATCCAACATGTTGGGATCTGGGGGGTCAGTTGTACGCAGACCTTACCCTTGTAACTATACAAGAAGGTTGTTTCCGTATAGTATCATTTCTACTGTTTAATCAAACAGTAGATGCCATCTCTTTATTCCCAAATCATGCAAAATCTGAAACACGTTAAAACTCAACAAGCACACCCTAGTCAGTGGAAGAGCCTATATTAAATCTGGGACAAGGTTTGATGTAAGGCAAAGGCAAATTAAAGCTTGGTGGGTTCTTTTGAATGATAGATTGACATATGAGCACACATGTGTCATGTGTGCATGCATATGGGTACACACGTGTACATACTATCCAAAATTGTAAAACAATGACATTGCTTAAAGACACCTCAGTAAGGTTTAACTACTCAATATATTTTGATTGCACAAGATTAGTATCAATAATTGGGTGTCTATACATGTATGTATTTGTGATACTTTCTGGGTTAATGTGCAATCATATTAGAAAAAGTAGTAGGTTAATGTAATATGCCAATATAATACAACAAAAATGAACTCTATCTAACAGTTTTCAGAATAAAATTTCAGGAAGCATTTACATTTGTAAATTATTTTCTAGTTGGAAATAATACAGTGACTTGATTGAATAAAGATAACATGCACATCATTACAACAAATATTATGCTTGCGGACGTCGTTAAAGAGTAGTCCTATAATGACTCTTGGCTGCTATTTCATACGTTTTCTACGAACATTCAACTTCTTGTTGGGTCCCTTCTCAGTACGGATGCTGCTTTTCAAGTCATAAAATCATTCTCTTTGGACCGTACAACCATAATTAGGAACGTGTTTTTAAGTTATAAATTTCAATATATATGGAATAAGCTCCCCACAAGTTGATAACAAAATGCAGTAACTAAAACATGATTGCATATGCAACCTACAATTTACAATTTCATACATAAAAGTTTAACTTCTTAATTACATAGAAGTGGATGGAAGATTATTGGAATGGAATATCTAAGGATATAAATGGCAGAATAACATGACAGGACAAGGTATGAAATTGACTAACCTTTTGTTCTGGAGGTCCAGAACTTTTGTGCCTCGTGCCCCACGTGTCCTGAATGCCTATGGAGACATTGTTTTCTTTATCCATCCGATTGTCAGTTCCCACTGTATTACTGCTCAACCTGATTTCTTTATTCTTTCCAAAATAACTCTTTGCAAATTGTTTAGAATGTTGAGATCCTGAATAATGTCGTCTCAAAGAAGTCAAAACATCATCTGTGGTGCTCTTAATTTCAGATCCAAATACACAGGAATCCCATTGTTTCAACCACAGGAGAACCTGCCATAGACAATACCAAAAGATTAAACCTAATGACTACAATACCTTTGAATTTCTTCTTTTCTCTTTTATATTGAATAACAAAGAAAAAACAAAGTAACAAATAAACCAACTAAAGCGGCAAACCAACCTCACGGTTTGTCTGCTCATCACTGAGAAGTTCCGTAAATGAACTTGGAGCATATTTGTCCACCCAAAGTTGCTCATCAGTAACTGGAGCTTTTGAACGGGTTACTTCAGTTGGACAGCCATCAACACTTGCTTGCAAAGCCTACACAAACAAACATTACATGTAATATGTAACATATTACAAAACAACACAACTCACGTCTTTTTCTGAAATATCAAGTCTTTATGGACAATGATTTCACAATAAAAACTTAAGAAGAAATCCTTCATCAAGATATCAACTCGCCCATTACCTACTCATTATGATAAAATTAGGCGTTTTTCAGTTCCTGAAAGTTTCTAACATAAGTTAAGAGGATTTACAGTTATGACTTGAGCAAGACCTACAAATTATTATTAAAAGAAAATTAAGCTAGATTAAATGAATACGTGACCTGAGATTGAAATTGTAATATAGATGGTTTAAAATGGAGGGTAATGTATTTCTATGTTGCACTTTTTCTAGGTTCGGCATAAGCAATATCTCATTTTCCAAGTAAATCCTAAGCAAATAATTTGGCAAATATTGAGTTATGTGTCATCCCACAAGTTGGAACTTCACGTGTCTGACACGGAATGAGAACTGAAAGGCTGAAACTGAGAACATCAAAGTAAAAAGAAATCCAACAGTTCTCTATGTGCCCGAAGTTTAATTTCATTCGGAAGGAAAAAGCATCAAGAACAGGAAAGCTAATGTAAAATATTTCCACAATAATTATATGATTTCTACTGGCATTCATACGCTAGTGTGAAATGAAAATTCAAAGACTTAAAATAGAGAGTTCATCTGAAATTCTGAATCCAGGTAAGAACAGAATGCCCGAAAGAATTCCAGTTGTTCTCTTTGGTCGAGAATGACAATTGTAATCAATAGAAATAATATAAATTATGTTTGTATTATTGTAAAATCTAGCTGTTAAGAAGTTCAAAATTATTCATTATTGAACGACAAAACAAAGTAGGGAAAACTAAGACGAGATAAAGAAGTACATTGAATTTATCAATCTTTTCGAAAAAGAAAAAGTACCTTTGTGAATTCCTCATGCTCCACTCTTTGCATTAGAACTTTAACAGGTTCCTTAAGTAGTCCTGCATGTTAGCAAAATCCCCTTTAGTCAATATAGTGTCAGTTTGCATAGGTCCTTCACCATCCAGTAAGTTGGACATTTGCAAGATTGTCCACATAACTGCAATGTGCAGGAACGAAAAACTAGCATTTCGTGGAGGATATTACACATTGAACTTGGATCCGAGTTAGTTACAAACATATAAAAGGAGACATGAGAGAAATTAAAATGAACCAAAGACCCCTAAATCTGAATCATGAACATGCCTTCCTCAGTCATCATATAATGGAGAATAATAAAGATGTAAATGGGCAAATAGTACCATCTCAGCGGGTTTCCAGAATAACATATAAATGTATTCTTGCTTAGAAAGGTGGGATAATACAATCACAAGCCCTTGTAACAAAGATCACCATTCTTTACTATGTGAGTCGAGTGCCACCCTGTCAGAATTTCTCCCATGGCAATCTATATGTTCAATCAGATCTTTTACACCTCCAGAGTTAGAGATGTTTACACATACCATATACGGATAAAATAACAACATCAAGAGAAAAAAGAAACAATAATCTGGCAGCAATAGGCCAACCCATTGAATTAATTATTCACAATGGAGACATAAACCACGATCACTATCTCACCAAAATGATTATTACCAAGAAAACAAAAGGGATAAAACACTGGGAGCCAAAATGTAGAAAACACTCACCATTAGAATCTCCTCTGACTCTTAAATCCCTTTTCCTCCCGTCCTCATCCATCTCCAAACTACATAGCTTGGCATACACCCTCTCCCCATCTAACCCCGTGACAGGCACAAAATCCCCGTCTATTTCCGTAGCATATCTTGACAGTATCCTCTCTTCCTTCTCCGGCTGCTCCTCCACCACGTCCATCTGTTCCCGCGAAGATCTCATCCCCTCGCCATCATTATCGTCACTCACTGCGTTATTCTCCACAGGATTGGGATTCCCATCCGGCAAGACTGCTCTTCTGCCCACTCCTCCCATCACCGGGCCAGTGAATGAGCGGTCGGGCCCGAACCGGGCTTCGTCTTCCTCTGTTCTGCTTCTCTTGCCATCGGAGCTGTTTCCGACGCGGAGGCAATCGCCGTCCGCATCCCACGGCTGAGCGAGGTCAGATCTAAAGCGTTTTGTGGTGGGGGGGCGGCTGATTTCGGGGTGGGGTTCAAGGGGCGAAGGTATTGTGGGGAGGGATAGAATTGGTTTCTTGTGTGACTCGCGCGGTGAGGGGGGCGAAAGGGGTTCGATATCATCTTCGTCGTCAACGAACTGATCGTCGTCTTGGTCGATGGTGTGGGATTCCAGCCATTGGAGCTCGTCGAGATCGGGAACATCATCCATATCTGCGTCTTGGTCGTCGTCTTGGTCGATGGTCGTGAGTGAGTGTTGTTGATTGTGTTCTTTGGCGGGAAAGTGGAAATGCGGTAGGCGGCAAGAAGAGGAAGAGAATTGCTGCAAAGTGCAAACAGACCATCGTGCCCTTCACATTTGTTTCCAATAAAAATATATAAAACATCTCATCTAGCTATTAGTAATACAACACCTGTGTATTACACGGGTGCTTGTTAAAAAATTAAAAAATTATTCTTGAATTTAAAATTAATGAGAAAGATTATTTAAATTTTATTTATTTTTTTACAAAAAATATATATTATTATATATTTTAGAATGACACATGTTACTTGTACGACTTACATGTGTTATTTTATAGTAATTTTTATAACTTATATCATTTAATTACTTGAAATATAAATATATTAATGGATAACTAATTTTTTTTAATTAATATTAAAAAATAATTTTATTATTGTCATAAAGATAAATATAATTTATTTTTTATACATACAATATGGATATTAAATCGAAGTTCATCAAGAGATGATTAATTTGATATATTATATATGTAAACTGATAAAACATACAAAAGTTCTTAACTTTTAAAATACAATTACAATTTAATGGTTATAATAATAAATGATATTAAAATTCAGATTAATACATGTAACATGACCATAAATAATAAAGATATTTATGGATAATCTGGACCCAATTATTTTTGGATTGAAAATAAATTAAAATAACTCAAGCCTAATAACGAAGCATGTAATTTTGTCAAATAGGATCTCGAAGCATGCGAGCCTACCATTTAGGCTTAGCACATTTTGAATTAATATATAGGGAAAATATATAGGGGAATATAATAGACATATTGATTTACTTGAAATAGTATTGAAATTCTCGCTTAAAATTTTCAAAATTACTATTCTTAATATTTTTAAAAAAAAATGACAACTAAATGAAAATTCAAATTCAAACTTTTTTTAAAAAAAAAAAATTATTATTTTTGAGAAAGATATTACGTAGACCTTAGTTCCTAAAAATAGGGGTAATAATTTCTTTAAATGCTATGGATATATCTGGGCGAGAAAGAATCTTGAAAATCTTTCTTCCAAAAAAACCGATCAATCATTCTTAAAAATTTTTTGGTTAAAGGTGTAAATTTGGTTACAAAAATCTAGTCAATTATTCAACGAATAAAACGTTTGAAGTTTTTTGAAATCTTTTCGAAAAGTAATGTCAACTTAATTGGTAAAATATTTTTTTATTCATATTTATCTATCTACAAATCTCATATTTTATAATCAAAATAAAAAATCCGTATTTATTTAATAAAGAATGTTAATCTCGAAAATTAATTTTTATATTTCGGATTGTTCAACTTAATTGATGATTTTTTGTCCATATTATCTAACTAGTAATTACCCGTGCGATGCAAGGGATGGTATATTTCTAAACATTTTTAAATATTAATGATTAAATTTAGTGAACTTGTTATATTTGTAACAAAAGTAAACACGTTGGGCGCAAACTACAAAATTCATAAATTATTGAAAACTTCTTTGTACACAAAGTTTTTCGTTTGATTTGGCGTCGAGTCATCGTCACCACAAACTAAAATTTTCAAACCACTTCGGTTGGTGACACGGGATACAGCAACGTATTACTGTCCATGGATGAACACAGGCTTCTTAAGAAATAAACCAACATGCGACGACGATTGTCTCTGGCTCTTGTTGATAGTCATGGCGTACGTATCCATAATAGGAAACTGACGCCTCTGGAACTTGAAAGGAATTCGGACGTCGAAAGGAGTAATAGCCATTCTAGGAAGCAACACCTTCTCGCCTGCGTGATCCCCAGTTAGTATCTTACACTCGATAACATGAGTGGAGAGTTTTGTGACAACCAACCGCGTCCCATTGCATAGACCCATAGAATGATCCATGTTACGCAATAACATGACGGGAGTTCCAATCTTCAAATGCAATTGATGATTTGGAATTCCAGAACATTTGATACTATTTAAGAATTCAGGCGTGTGGATATCAGACAGGAAATCGTTATTAGAGTCGGACTTGCAAGTACTATCAGAACTTAAGTACATCTAACCGTCAGATAAATTCAACAATGTCATGTACTCATTGATAGACTCAACAACATCTAGCGTAGGTGCTAATATTGCCCTGTCCTTTAAATAACTGGGATCATCAGTTGCCTGCTTAAACATTGGATACGTGCTCTATACAATTTGGGCAATCGGATCATCAGAGGGCTCAAGCATTATATCCTCAGGTATGTCTATCATTGCACAACCATCATTAGACCCTCCTATGATTCCATCTCCAATGCTCGCTATCCATTCTGCGAACCGAGCAACCTCTTCACGTTCTTCTGAATTCGTAAGATTTTGAAGACGCGTGTTTTTCGTAAGTCGGAGAACAGTGCAACATTCACTATGTCCTGACGGCTACCCTTCGGTATGACAGGAAGAATTTGTCGGAAATCTCCACCAAACACAACCGACTTTCCTCCAAATGGTTTGTCTTTGTTAGAAGGATCAATTCCTCCCATAATATCCTGCAATGATGTTTGGACAGCATCGAAGCAATGCTTGTGCATTATTGGAGCCTCATCCCAAATTATCAAAGAAGCACGTATTATCAATTCTGACTTTCTTGATTGATATTGTAAGAGGATTCCTAATGGGGATTCAATGGTATTCCAAATTGAGAACGAGCCGCTCGTCCACCAGGCAACAAAAGCGATGCTATTCCACTCGATGTTACGCACAACACTATGCCACCTTTGCATCTAATACCAGCAGATAACGTTCTCCACAAATAAGTTTTGCCCGTTCCACCATAATCGTATACAAAAAAAACACCGCATCTCGACCAAAATCAACAGATGACATAATGGTTGAATAAACTCCTTTTTGTTCATAAGTCATTTTCTTAAGAAACATTCTCTGTTCAGCAGCAAGAGCCTTTCGATCGTAATTTAACTCATCCATAATCAGACGATTTGAACTTGAATGCATACTATCACTATCAGGAAAGGGCATAGTTGAATAATCACTCATACTTGCTCCACGACGTTTCAATAAATACTCAATCTCGGCAAGAGCAAGATTTTGGATTTGTTTGTCAGTAAGCAACAACCCTATAAACAAAATGATACATAAGCAACACACCAATATAAAAATAATTGGAGATAATAAATAAAAAATAAAAATTACCATCATTGTTGAATAGTCGACGTTGTCTATACAAAATGTCGTCCGACAAATAGTGCCAACATCTTGTCCATACCTCCTCCGGTCTACCAAAACAACCAAAAACCAACAATGACGCAAACATGCCTCTTAGAGAGTCTGCCGATGCCCACTTACTTGCTTCGGTTATGCCATCAATGTACTCCCTGTCATCCTCCAACAAACTCCATTCGTAGCAAGCATCTCGATATGTAATATATTGAGTCTCTCTGACCTTCATGTAGTCCTCAAGACATGTTGCACCATGAACGACATTGACCAAACACCTTAAATAGTAATCATCGCCACAACCTAGAGGCACGTACTGCAGACGGCCTACAGATGGTTGGTCTTTGTTTTTCCTAGGAGTCCACACACGCACTTTTGGATTCCACACGAATTTCGACTGTGCCTCAAAATAAGTTAGTTCCCTCGCTGTCGGATACTTTTTGTTTGCCTTAAACCACGCAAGAAACTGGCTCTCCTGTACAGATTCTTTACGAGTACATACTGAAGATTATTGTAACACCCCGCTCATCAGAGTAAATTTTTCGCAACTTTACTTCAAAAGTACTTATAACTCTTTCGAAATCTTTGCGACTAACTCGGGGTGCTACTCAAACTCATCTTTTCTGAAAACCCGTTTATCTTTAAACTTTGTCTAATACTTCTTTAGACATAAGAAAACAGATTTATTTAAACTTGCATTAAACTATATCATATTCATACTTCTGAAATGATAAAAACTTGAAATCTGAAATTTATTAAAATGCAAGTTCAAGTCTTAATATGCATAGCGGAAATACTTAAAAACGTGATTTATCATACCATATCACATCCATAATAAATGTCCACTGAAGTAAGTGCACGACCACCACCACCACTTCTTAAGCTCACACCTCCGGCCCGACCCTGTTACCTGAAAAACACAATGGGGGTGAGTACTGATCCTCTTGTACCCCGAAAAATACCCATACTAAAGTAAACAGCAATAATAATACATTATCATGATCGTTGGTATATATATCTTGACTGGAAATCTGTTCCAGTAACTGAAACTTAATCTGGCCGATATCTGATCGGATACTTGTGCACAATCTGACGGATATTTCTCAAGGCAACTCAAGCGGCCTCCATCAGAAGTTAGGATATACTCTAAGACAACTGAATGCCTTCTCATCCCAAGCGTATAAACTTAAATTGTATACATACCTCGGACATGATATCAATATTATACTCAATGTAATACCCAGGCTGGGTCCCGACCTTTCTTCTTTTGAAAACTTTTGAAAAATGTAAGTGTTGCTCTTGGTAGCTATATCTGCAAGCTACATAAAAATATAAACAAATATACTAAGTACTATACTCGTATACTCAATAAGATTTAACTCTTACTTATCCGAATCTTATAGATATTCAATAAACTTGCTTAATATGTCTCAAATAAATATTAAGTCATCAAACATCTTAACTTTTTCTTAAACTTTTACTCAAGGTTAATTACTTAACCTTATATAAATCATATCTTCAAAATCATAGAGATTGGTTTATACTCGCATGTCACTGAAATAACTCGAATGTGAAGATAACTAAATTTCACATTAAACTTGATTGAGTACTTAAACTCAAAACATGCTTAACTTTTTCCAACATCATCAACATTATTTATAAACTCATCTTGATCTTTTACTCAATCAAATACTTAATTCATCATACATCATATCTCCCAAATTTTAAATATTAGCTTATATTAAATTTTCACTTAATTAACTTGAAAGTGAAAATAAACTCAAGTCCTACTTCAACTTTTAATCACAACATTTAATCATGATATTAATATGTCATACTTAATACAATC